AGTTTAAACAGTTTAATCCCAAATTTATGCCTCTTGTTACTTATGTACTGCTTGAATTTCAAACGTCGCTTGAACGGAACTAGGGTCTCGTCGATACGTAAGTATTCGCCAGGAATATTATATTTTTAAAAAGATTTCTGCGGCTTCTTTATAAGTGGTGTAATTTTTTGCAACCTGTCCTCAGACTCTATTGAATTATCGCTAAAATGTAACATCTTCAATAATAACTGGAATCGATTGCGTGACATAACGCTCCGGATACGGTTTTGAAATAAAATATTTTTTGACCAGTACATTTGCATATTAGAAAATTAGCACAAACCCATCCATAAAATGATGTATCATGCCACTGTGTGATACGAGACTTCGGGAAAATATTTTTTTCTAGGAATTGCTTCGCATATCGGTTAGTTTCTACAACCTGCAACCGAAAATGTTTTGATCAATCTGTGCAAATTATGCAACAAAATAAGCTTACCATCAGCTCTATTATTTCATCATTTAGAAACAAGCAGTAAAATGCATACGGATCTTTGTCAAAGTAATTTTCGTAAAGCTCAGGAAGAAATCCATGTTGTGTTAGTGTAAATCCAATTTTTTTCAGATTATTCCCTGTCGCTGGACCCCAAGTTATTTCAAGATGTGCATTGCGTGAATCCTCGGCCATATCTTCATGAGCAAATTTTTTAATTACTTCGTATATTGTTTGATCCATTGAAGAGGGGAATTCAGTTGGAGCAACGACAGTACTAGTGGGAATAGCGAGTAATTTCTGCCTCTTCGAGCCTACAGTTTGCTCATAATCGGAGTCGTCTTCATCAGACGAAGCTGGTACATACAGTATATTCAGATAAGAGATAGACCGGATGTAAACAAAAGGTTCGGGTGATTTTCACGCTAACGCCGCCGTCTCGACGTAAAACAGGAGCCCTCATTGGTCAATTCGCAATTAAATGCCTATGCCGAGCGGCAGAGCAGTCGTATCAAGGCAGAGTCACATTCAGGTTCAGACGTGTTACGTATGTCGTGTGCATCATTGCAATTTGATATTTCTTTGGACGTTTTCGTTTGTTATCTTATTAAGTTGTTGAGTTTGTCGTTGTTATTGTTATACCTTGTTATTGATTGTTATTGTTATCAACTGCTTGCGCAAAATGCCCAGTAGTACAGATACTGCTGATGAAGTTGTAAACTCCTGTAGTCCACCTAGGAAACGCTCTAAAAAAAGACACCTGAGTGCAGAAATGAAAGAGGTCATTTTGAATATACAGGGTGTTCCATAATTATTGCGACAAAATGATAGGGGTTGTAGAGGGCATAAAAATATGCAATTTTGCCTTATAAACCCCTGTTCGTAAATATGCCGTTTGAGCACTACCGCTAATTTTACCTTAAGAGAAACAAAAAATTCAACAGCTGCAAAATGTTCGTCTAGCACATTTCATGGTCTCGCCGATTTGTAAAAAAAAGCCTGCTGTGTTTACATTTTTGTTATCGTAAATTCTCCACACCGATTCATTTAATTTATCTGAGTGGTGCGTCAAACTAGAGGCCAATCCGCGTACAAGCGTGCGTGCTATTGCACATGAAATGGGAGCGTCTCAAACTACTGCTTGGCGGGTTCTCCATGACCAGCATTTACACCCATACCACCTTTTAAAAGTCCAAGCCATGGGTCCAGAAAACTATCTGCCGCGTCGACGTTTTTGTCGTTGGTGGCTGCAGCAGGAGTTGAGGCAACCAAACTTTGGTCGCTACGTTTTGTTCACTGACAAGTCCTGTTTCACAAAGGACGGTTATTTTAATAGCCGTAACAGTCACATTTGGGATGAAGAAAACCCTCATGCCATAGCCATCCATAGAGACCAACATAGTTTTCAATTAACATCTGGTGCGGCATTGTGGACGAGCATATCATCGGGCCATATTTGCTTCCACCACGTTTGGATGGGCATGCTTATGGTCGATTCTTACAGCATGTGCTACCGGAACTATTAGAAAATGTGCCACTGAACATAAGAGCCAACACGTGGTTTCAACACGATGGCGCTCCAGCCCACTTTTCTTTACAAGTGCGGCAGTATTTGGACGACAAATAGGTGGATAGGCCGAGGTGGCCCTGTGCCTTGGCCTGCGCGGTCACCCGACCTGACCCCACTGGATTATTTTCTCTGGGGCCATCTGAAAGCTTTAGTGTACGAAACTACTGTTCCCAACCAACAAGAGCTACTGGGAAGAGTGATGGCCGCGTCCGCACATGTTCAGGACAAACCGGGGGTATGCCACAGAGTTCGCCGATCATTGAACAATCGTGCACAGCTGTGTATTGAGCAAGGTGGAGGACACTTTGAGCAATTACTGTAGGTAAGCTGTTTCAAGAAACTGATCTTTTTTTTTGCTGCATCCCAAACGGCATATTTCCGAACAGGGGTTTATAAGGCAAAATTGTTCATTTTGATGCCCTCTACAACCCCTATCATTTTGTCGCAATAATTATGGAACACCCTGTATATAAGATCGAGCGCGAGGAGAACGAGGCATCAACCATCAAAGAAATTCCATTAATATAATCTTAAAATATGTCGAAAATTATAAACTTAAAAAAGTTACTAAGTTTTATATTGTGTACCGTTCCTAATATTTCTAATCATTTTAATTCATACTTTAAGCTTTATAAAGTTATAATTTGTTAATATTAATATTTGCGCGTATTTCAGGTTCCTGATCATTCATTTTTTAGAGGTTTATAACTTTAAATTAAATTGTGAAGCGCTGAGTAATCATACGATGTTCAATATTCTTTCTTTCAATATGACTAAATAATCCCAATTATAGCAATCTGATACTCATGTCTCAATGTTTTTTCGCTGAATGTGATGAAAACATTTGAAAAAGGTTCGCTTATTGAAATAAATCTACACCAGTTAGTACTTCGATTTCCAGGTAAAGGGAAAAGGCTCATTATCTGCCATATTGGCAGTGAGGATGGATTTGTTGTTGACGGTATGTGGTGCTTTGAGTCTAAGAAAACTGGAGATTACCACAAGGAAATGAATGGCGAATCTTTTGAACAGTGGTTTTCAAAAATTTTACCGAACTTAGAGGAAAACGCAGTAATTGTGTTGGATAATGCGCCTTATCATTCTCGAAGAATGGAGAAGGTCCCAACAACGGCTTCAAGGAAAGTTGATGTTCAAAATTGGCTCCGCTCGAAAAATATCAACTTTGAAGAAGCAATGCTGAAAGTACAATTATTCAGAATTGTCAAGGATCACAAGGCGGAATATCAAAAATACGCCATTGACGAAATGGCAGCAAGTCAAAATAAAACTGTTGCGAGCACAATCCCATTGAGCTCATATGGGCAGAGGTTAAAAATTATATAGCTAAGCACAATACAACTTTTAAATTTTGTGACCTCAAAGGACTTTTCAAAGAAGCACTAGAATTAATAACAGCGCAAAAATGGGAAAACTGTATTAAGCACGTGAAAGACAAAGTTGAAAAGAGAATGTGGGAACTGGACAATATTTTAGAGGAACAAGTCGAGCCATTCATTATTGACGTTGGTGCTTCAGGCAGTAGCGATGATCAAAGCTCATCAAGCTCATCTTTCCAATAAAAGATGTCGTTCATCAAATTCGGTAAGTTATAAGTAATTATAAAGCTACTGTATTTTTTAATTAATTATTAACATTTTTGAACCCATTTTGGCAAAACCTATTCAAGAATCTACTTTCTGACACTGTTCAACCATGCACATTTTTTACGTTTTGAACGTTTTAATTTGGTTACATATTTACCTAGAAATCAAAAAATATACTAATCAATATTCTAAAAGCAATTTTAAGAGATATACGATTATTTTTAATTTAGGCTAATTTAAACGCCATTTTGAGATTATATTCGACTGTATTTCACCAAACATCAGGCGGCATCCGAAGCTGGTAATCGAAGCGAAAATTTTGAAACCCTTATGTATATTTACATCATTATATATTTCTTACCCCACCCCCACATGATCCTATATCCATCACCAATCGTATACACATCGAATTGTGCTAATTTACTACAAAGTTACGCAAAGCAGCATCTACTATCTAAAATATGTACTGTGTGACTCTTAATACGTCCCTGCCGAATCTTACAGCGTTCGATGATCACGTGGTCTTGTTTATGTCCGGTCTATCTCTTATCTGAATATACTGTAGTCATCTGAACTGTCATCGGACACTGGATTATTTTCCTCGTCAGACAAGTTCTTGCCACAATCGCATCAACCTTTATTGCTCCTTTTCGTATGACATTATCACAAAGGCAATTGCAAAAATACACTCGCACGTAGATAGTCAACGTCAAGACAACATAGATAAACTACCGGCTGAATAAATTTTCGAGCCGAATAAGCTAAATCGTCGCGACACCTGTATCGCCATCGGTGATTGGCTGAGTCAGTGGCGTGATCCTGGAGATGTTTCCAAGTATCGATACGTATTTCACTCGATACAGAAAATAGAGATGTTCCTAACTATCGATACTTATTTCACTCGATACAGAAAGTAGCAGCACCGCATTGGTCTCGCTCGGCAACAAACTTAGTTTTCAACTTATATTGCCGCGCGAGACCAATGTGGACTCGCATTTTGAAAATAAAATTCATGAACAAAATTACATTTTTGCACCTAAATTTAAGGTTCACTAACTAAAGATAAGGTCAGCTTGATAAAATTAACAACAAAATAACAACTGGCCAATTGAAATGGGTTTTCAATGAACATTTTGGCACTTTAAGCAGTTAGGTAGTGTCACTAATCTTATGATTTTCAATTTGGTCCACTCGCTCAGGGCCGATGTCACGCATTCATTTCGTAGAAACACAAACTTTTGGAAATCGTAGATTAGAAACAGTACAACAGCTCATTTCAGTACCGATAGCGATTGGTATCATTGGATTCCAAAGATGTTGGATTCTGTCCTATGAACCAATAGGTAAAATGAAGTACCTACAATAAGCTCACAAGCTGCAGCACTTTATAAATGCAGATGAGATCTTGGAAGGGAAAAAGCTCATACGACGATTTGGAAGGAGCACCAAGGCTCTGGGTTTTATTTATTCCTGCTTACATATTTCCCTGATATCTCAAATACTCCATAAAATGTTAAATTCTACAACAAGATTATGAACAAGGATCATCAGCTCTCCTTCTAGAAGATGGCAAAGGTTCCATATATTGTTGCCTACTCTTGATGATGTTCAAGCCCATCTTGCTAAAAGTGTCGTGATATTCTGTAGTGCCAGTTCTTGGAGCAAACCATTCGTCCACCAACGTAGGGGCTGCAATAAAAGCTATGATAGCATCTCCACCACAAATGCAACAGTCTTTGTGATATAATGAATAAACGACTTTCGTATATGGAATTTTATTATTGTTACTATGAGGTCCAAAACATAAACCTACGTCCTCCATGGGCTCAAAAACTATAGCGAGGCATGCTTTTGATCTCTCGCGACTTTTGTCTTGAATGGGGAGTGAAAAATGAACCAGAGAACGCCACAACGTTCACACGATCACGATTCAATTTATTCCATGAAGCCCATCATGAAGAAGCTTCTGATTGATAGGTGTGCTCTTTTGAGTTCGGACGCATACGAGCCTCTTCCCACTTCAGTTGGCCCAACGATTGAAATCTTAGTTTTTTTCTTATCAAACACGAATAATAAAAATGTAGCAGGGAGTTATAGGTTTAAAATATTAACAATGAATATTTTGATAATATATAGTAGAAAACACCAACTTTATCACTCCCGAATCAAATTTGCAGCATAAAAATAACACATGTTGCAATTACAGCATATCAACCTATGTTCATTTCAATGTAAAATAAGTCTATAACGCATAGGTGGCTGTGAAAAATAAAAGCCATGACAATTGTTTTTATTAATCACAGCTGTCAGAATACGTTTAAAATAGTTTTGGGTAGTTAAGGTTTTCAAAATGGGTAGAGGAAAGGTTATTAGTGAGAAAATTCGGTTACTGATAATTAAATTTTTTAATTCTGGGAAATCAAACTCAGAAATTGCAACTTTGTTAGACTTATCGCGGTACAGTGTGAGAAATATTGCTAGAAGATATAAAGTAACTGGTTCAGTTAATAAGCTGCGATATGTGAAAAAGTAATATCACAAATGCCGACCGAAGAGCATTAAGAAGAATAATCGTGAAAAACAGGCGTGCCAATTATTTACAATTAAGTGCTCTGTGGAGTGACGCTGTTGGAAGGAGAATTTCGGGGTCCACAACTCATAGAGAGGCCCACAAACTGGGATTTGTAAGGTAAGTTTTCTTATAAAAAAAATTTGAGTAAAAACCCCAAAATTGCACAACTTGTTTATAGGCCAAAGAAAAGCCACTATTAACTCCACTGCAAAAGAAAAATTGGCTTAGATGGGCTAATGAACATAGACATTGGACACCTCAACAATGGTGTGCAATACAATGGAGTTCGAAGTTTGTGTTGGTAGACAGTCGCAGTAGAGTTATTCGCAAAAAATGAAGCATTCCATGTTGACTGTCTGAAGTGAAAAGTGACATTTCCAGCATCCATTATGGTCTGTGGCAGTATGTCATCAAAAGAAGTAGGAAAACTTCATTTTATTGTTGGAAATGTGGAGACAAACAAATATTTGGCAATTTTAGGAGAATCGCTTTTACCAGTGATGGAAGAGTGTTTGACATCCGGCCAAGATTTTGTGTTTCAGCAAGATGGTGCAGCGTGCCATACCTCAAAAAAGGCTATAAAATGGATGGAAGAAAATAATGTACCACTTTTGAAATGGGTTTCTAGCAGTACAGATCTGTCACCTATTGAAACTTTGTGGCACGAGATAAAAAAGGTTCTACGACAACATCCTGCTCGTGCAATCACCGAACTGAGACAAAAGCTTCAAGAAATATGAGATTGTTTTACACCAAATTTTTGCCAAAACTTGGTTAACACAGTGCCCCAAAGAATTTCATTCGTAATAAAAAATAAAGGTGATGTTATCCAATGGTTATCTTTCAATTGTTGCTTTGTTAACTTCGCGCGTTTATTCGCACATTGTTTATTTGTTCAGACGTTCTATTAGTTATAGGTCTAAGTGATTTCAAATATGTATTTTTTACGACTAGAGTGTATCTAAAATGTTTTTGAGAACATAAATTGTTTTAGAAGTAAATAGTTTCGTCATGTTTAGTTTATAAAGGCATATTTTGGTACAAATCTTGAAGTGGGCCAACTGAAGTGGGAAGGGGCTCGTACTTGTAAGAAGAAAGCACCTCGCCCAAAATTTACGGAAAATGGGTCTCAGTCGATTTATCAAAAAATTCAATGATATATTTCTCGCCTTCCTTAATAAAAGTTCTCATGGCACCAAAGCAACCCTATGATCGATTTCTGTGAACTGGAGGAGGGCGAAGTTTGCGGATTTGCAAAAATGGTAAATGTGGACATGAAAATTCCCCAAGAAAACTATTCAAATGCTGCATGTGCCGAATCTAGTAGACCTTTGTAAAATAGCTCGTGCTTTTATTAATAGAATAATAGCGTTAGGTGAGGTGGAAGATGGACACATGGAATTTACTCTTATCAAAAAGTTTATGAAAATAAGGATGATCATGCAATAATCGGAGATTGGAGCTCGTTATTCTTCAAAAAAGTTGACTCTAACAAAAAAAATCAAACTAATAGTCAACAAATTATAATACTTTTAAGCCTATGTTCACATTTGTGCGCTTTTTCAATTTCGCCTTCAAAATCAATGTGACCTGTACTTGACCTTGAAAATGCCATAAGAAAAAAAAACAAAGATTTCGTATGGAGCTGGAACGATTAAACTGACCTTGTAAGGATCATGACGAAGATCAACATAACACCTCCCAAAACACACAAAGTTTCAAGGTTTTAAATGAAAGAATTTTTTTGGCATAACAATTACTTGAGTATTTAGTTTGAAAACTACGCCACTTTTGCAACTTCCTCTATTTCTCACTTCCAAACTAATCATAGTACTGCTTTGATCCCATGGGAGCTTTTATCCAGGAAAGCGTGAAATATTTCATAATCAATTCTTAGACAGATAGACTTGGACCCATTTTCTATATGATTTGTCCGTCGATCCTTTAAGGTAAGAGAACATAATTTGACGGATGCTAAACTGAAAACTGAACATGAAAATTTAAAAAAATGCTACAAGTTTGATTTCCTCTTGGAGCGCGTTTCACTACACATTTCAAAGTCAGACTACAATCTGCCTCATTCCGATTGGCGCGTGAACGCCTTAAAATCAAGCGTGTTTGAAACCGAGCATGGGCTGCCGTGGACTTGCCTCTTGAAGGGACATTACGCAATATCTTGAATCAAGAATAAGAAGGAGCTCAAAATACTCACTTCTGGTAAACTCGACTTGCGGGCAAACATCAATAGTAGGCTTAGGGAAAGCAGCATATCTGAACCTTGTGGGGTCCCTGTAACCCCTTCCAGTGCCAATTACTTCTCCCTTTACTGGTATTCCTACTGGAGAATCTATAGCAGCCACCAGCTTACGGTACTTGGTCAGTGGCATCCCTGGACACAGCAAAAATATAAAAAAGTACTTCGGATCACAAATGACAAGTCCGAAAAAACTGATGTTTGGAATTTGATGACAATGAGGATGTTCGAGATGTTGTTTCTCGAACTCTTGTTGTCTATAAAGTTTTTTGTTTTACGATGTTTCAATTTACGTGACCTTCATTCGTTCACCTGAAGACGATTGAACATCACATCAATCGAAACAAAAAAAATATAGACAGTGGGAGTCCGAGAAACAACATCCGTAAAAACTATTTAAGTCCGACTGAAAATTGAAATGAGTTTTACGAATTTTTGGCATTTTAGCTCCTTATTGAATATACCAGCTACATTTACTTCTCCTAATTAACAGAGGAACACAGAGGCGTGCTTTGTTTTCCTATATATTTTTTCAAGATGAACACATATTCAAGTCAAAATTGGGGGACGGTGGTGAAATTAGAAAGTAATTCAGGCATTATTATCTCATATTTTGGTGGACGAGTCTTCATAGGTCTCTCAAAGATGCACAGCCACCTAAAATATAAAAATTTTCAATTTGATGTCTAAATTACTTTCACATTTGTTTATCTTCCTCCAATTTTCACTTCAAATTCCTGTTCATCGTGAAAAAGAACATAGAAAAAACATAGTCGATCTCAAGCACATACCACTTTTTCTATCAGGTAACCAAATAAGTTCGTGCGGTTTTTAGTAGAAAAATATAAATTTTCATTGAGAAACAATAAAACACTATTTATTCATCGCAGTACCATCACATTCAATGACCTTTTGCCAACGTGGAACCAATTTTTGTATACCGGTATTGTAGAACTTCCTGGATTTGGAGTCAAGAAATTGGCAGACTGCATTTATTACACCATCGCGAGTTGTGAACTGTCGGTGCCTCATTCAGTCGTCAAGAGACAAAAAAAGGTGATAATCACTGGGCGAAATGTCGGGAGAATATGGCGGGTGCGGTAACGTTTCCCAGATGAGTTCAGAAATTTTTGCTCGGGTCACTTTTGCGGTATGAGGCTGCAAGAATAGCACTTTCTTCCGATTGATCAAAGAAGGCTGTTTCTGGATGAATGCTGCTTGTACTCGTTGAAGCTGCTCTCAATACAAGTTAGCAGTGATGGTTTGACCGCCTTCCAAAAACTCATAATGGACAACTCTAGTTGCTGACCACCAAACACACAACAAAACTTGTTTGGGTGCAAGGAAGCCTTGAGCGTGTGTGGTACCGAATCAGTAGGCGACAACCAATGATATGAACGCTTAGAATTCGAATACAAGATCCATTTTTCGTCGCAGGTTAATAACCGATTAAAAATGGTTAATTAGCGTTGCGTGAAATGTTTGCTGAACAAATGGTAAGATGACTTAATTTGTTATCATTTTTCAGTTTATGTGGGACCCATTTGCTTAACCTCCACGTCTTTCCTAGCTGATGACGATGCAAACGAATAGTTCCAGGACTTCCTCTGAATATTTCTGAAAGTCCTTGACACGTTGTCCTGGAATTTGCGTCCACAACCTTTCGAAGATCCTTGTTGTTCATGATTTTTGGTCTCCCTGAGCGCGGTTCATCGCTCAAACTGAGATCTCCCGAAGAAAATTTTTAGAACCACTTCTGTGCTGTTCGATCACTGTCGACCATTTTCAATTATTAAAACTAGGTATGTAACAATTTTCAGCATTTTTATGTGTGTGAGAAAAGAAAAATTCATACTAAAGTGACAACAGGTAACAAACAATCGCTATCGATCAACAACATCCATGGAAATGTGCAATATACAGCAACCGCACGAACTTATTTGGTTACCTGATATTTTGTGAGCAAAGCTACGTAATAGCAGTAACGTGAAATTGAAAAACGCTGATCTTTAGCGACGCATTTTAGGGCTATCCTTCTTACAATAATTTGAAGTCTCGATAAACGAAATTAATTGAGACTTTTCACTTTATTGAAATTTTAAATATTTTGTTTAATTAGTTTGTTATCATCTTGTTTTCGCAACAAAGTAATCACATAATGAAAGAATCACCACTTAAGGTTCGTTTAATGCAAAAAAGCAATTTTTTTAAAAATGTTACATGACACCTTTATCCACTTGTGTCTTCAATTGTATCACGCCTTTATGGCCTCCTTGATTTTCATAGTCTTTTTACTCCTTCAGAAAGGTCAGGGTATTTCTAGGTTTCTACTGTTCTGTGTTAGCGTCGTATTGTGAGGTTTTGTTTTCTTTTGTTTTTTTTTTGGAATCTTCAGAAATTTCAGATGTAAAAAATCAAGTTCTATCAGCCTAAAATTTCGTAGGATTCAAAAAGAAAATATAACCTCTAATTACAGCTCTGACATGAAACCGTAGAAATCTAAAAATACCTTTCTGAAGGATAAACAAAAATATGACAATCAAGGAGGCCATAAAGGCATTCTACAATAATTGTAGGAGCGGCTGACGATACGGCCCTTAGCTATAAACCCAAGAAAATTTTACGTGCGGCGCAGGTCCCACCCGTTTTTAGTGATAAATGATGCTGGTAAGCGTTGTTTAGATGCTACTGATTTCTTTTGTTTAGTTCAACATTTCTACGTTTTTTTTCTCCACATCAACTGTAATGGGAGCTACTCCTTTGCAATTTGCCATCAATAACGCCCAAGTCTTTGGGCGACACAAGATGGCAGAGCAGGTATCACCTAGAAATATATCCGTCGGGGGAGCCAAAAACTATTGAGCCGGCCCTGGGGATATGATAACTCTTCCGATAACGTATCGAGGAACTTGCTGCCTACTTACCCTTCTTTATGTAATCAGTTTGATAAATAGTTTCCATCTTTTCGTCATCGTCATCACATGGATGATCAAGGATATCACTGGATAAAATTGCCATCTGGAACAAAATGTTTTCTCTGTTTTACAATACCTGATTCAAAAGTAATAATCATAACGTTCGAGTGTGTACCACCGACACTATTAAATTTACCAGTTTTGGCAAAGTAATTACAAAAGTCGGTGCATATTTGCAAATATGAAAAATGAATAGTAGTTTAAAAAAACTAAAAAAAAAACGCCTTTATAGCCAACCAAACTAAAAAGTAAAAAGTAATTTTTAATTACAAAGAGCTTATATTACTGCGGTAGATGGTCGAACAATCAATCATAATTAATTACCTATGTTCACATTTGTGTGCTTTTTCAATTTCGCCTTCAAAATCAATGAGACCTTGAATTGACGTTGAAAATGCCATAATGAAAAAAACACGACTTTTTCGTGCCCTTGTGAAGCAAACTGTTCACTTCAAAATAAAATTACTATAAAAATTAAGTTATTAACAGAATAGTTCAATCCAGAGTAGGAAGCGTGGGGTGCATTTTACTACATCCTTTCTGTATATTTTGAAAATTATGCTCAAATTCGATTACATACATACATACATACATAGGGGCCAAGCTTATAAAAGCGTGTTAAGAAAAAAAATAAAAATAGAAAATTATTCTTCAATTTTTTGTAAAAATTCTTGTAATTTATTGGATTTGGGTTCTAAAGAACACAGTTTCCTGTTATAAAGTTGTTGACGATTGGGAAAAGTTATTTCCTTCTATTCAGTGACACAGTTTTAAAGCAAAAGGAGCCCTGAAGAAGGAAATCAAATTTTCCGAAACGTCAGCAACTTTATAACAAGTACCTGTGTTCCTTTAGACATCAAATCTAATGAGTTACAAGAAATTTATGCAAACATTTTTTTGATATAGCGTTTTTCCTATTATTTCGTTTTTATTATTTTAAATACTTATTTTAGAGACGTGATTGGTTAGTTAGTTCTTCTGGAGCTTCCATCATGCTCAACAACTCAGACAAAGGGACAGAAATCTGCAAAATCATTATAATAATCACATATATTTATAGTATCTTCCATGGAGTACTCGCAATAGTCGCAATCTCGAGAATTATAGTGCTCAGTGGTGGATCTAAAGTCTCCTGGGCCCGAATCAAACACTTTATAGGGGGCTCGCAATGGGCCGAAAGTACATCTGTAGGGCACTGTGAAAGTGCAAATTTGAAGGGCGAGGGTGATGCGTAGTGAGCTGACCCTCAAACGTCTCAACTGTGGAACCGTTTGTTAGATCCTCTACCTCCCCGGGGCCAGACGCACAGTGCGTCATTCTTAGATTCGCCTGTCACAGTGTGCTACTTACCCTTTGATTAAGTTCTTCCAGCTTTTGATATAGTGATGCTTCTTTCTGGGCAAGTTTCTTGTATCTGCCCATTTCGGGTTCGTAAAGGTGGGCATCGCAGTGGCAATATGGTTCAACCAGTTGGGCTACGTAAAAATTGATGGGCTTGGTTTTGAGAGGAGGTTGGGTAGGCCTGGAAAGGGCAATGGGTACCAAAACTCTACTTACAACCTGACAGACTGAGTAGTTGCCAAATAGCACGAAACACCTGTCTATTGAAGGCCGTCTGTGGTCAGATGAACTAAAGCTATACTATATTATCCTTTTTAATGTTTTTGTATCCTTGAATCCTAGTACTTTAGGTACTTAAAAATTCACCCGCTAAAGGACAACGAATATTCCTTACCGAGGCACCATGGGTTTTGGATACGGCCATTTGTAATCTTTTCGTGTGTTCGTCAAAAACGTATCTTTATCAACCATTTTGATTGATGGAATGTATACTTTTTTATTTAGAATTTGCCGTACAAGCTGATCCACGTAAATTTTTCGCACCCCCGTCCCCTAAATCTACCTCTGTCAAAAAAAACTATTAATTTCTCATGACATTTGTAAATGTATAATCAAATTCAAGCGGATAACCAAATGGAAATGGTATTTACCATTTTGGCTTGGTATTTACCAATCCGTTCAAGCGATTGTAGTTATCAGTTTGGTTATAAGATCCGTGACGTCACGAATCAGCTGTTATATGTCATAGTTATCACCGCAAAATTGTGGTATTTACCCAACTCAAGAGTAGTTTTATATTTCTGGTTATTATTTGAAATGTGACAAGTTAGAATTTTGCCGGGTATTGGATATTGTTATTGTACTTCAGCTTCATTTTTGAGAAAATTGATACAGGCTGACTTCAGTTTTACCATAATGTGGAGCACCTTATTAGTTATACTCATTACGGTTGTTGGGGACACTTTAAATGTAGTTCCTATGCTTAACAAAGTATCCTGTGTAGCCATAAACCACAAGAATATTAAAATATGGCCATATAAACTCACTAGATGATATCCACCTGTATACGGTTTTGCTAATTTCTTTTATCATCATTTCTGCTGAATCAATAAATGTTTTCTTTGACATGCGGAAAAATTTAGAGAATTGAAAGTTATCATAGCTACAAAGCCATGGTTCCATCATTAAAAAAAAAATCTGAAAAAAGCATGTCTCCCATGAATATTATGAAAGGTTTCTTATTTAAACTTTCCATATACAGTTGTAGACGAAAAAGCACCGATTATTAAGTGATAATAAAAATAATCAGAGATTATATACGCGCTTTTCTAAAATACACAACTTGCAACAAAACCGCGGTTAAAACCAACGCGTTCAAGCGATTCGAGTAACTGACGTCACCATCCCGTGTGTCATCTTGAACCATATTATAACCGCGGTACATAATACGGAAATTTTGGTTATCCGCTTGGATTTGATTTATGTTATTGCCAGGTCATTAGGGCATTGCTGTCAAGTTTGACAAGGCTATCACTAACCAACGATTTGTTTTCTGCACTATTGTCCACCTGACATATTTTATAATTAAATAGTGTATATTAGTTAACGTAGCAACAGAACTTTTATCTCCCTACTGTACTACACTTCACATCGTAGTGTCTTACCAGCCATCTGCTGGTGTATCTAGCAACTAATCTACTTTCAGGATTATGTTGACATAGTTCACTCTAAAGAATCCTTAGTAGATTTTGATAAGTAACATCAGCTTTGCCAGAATGCGCCACTTTAGAGATGTCAAAATCCCGTGATTTCTTGCCACTGTCACGTTGACAGTTTGCTTTCAGCCACTGTTTTTTCAGTCAAGTCAGCTGACTTCGATCTCGTGAACTGAATTTGAGTATATTTTTCTTGATTCCAATAAGCAAATATGTCTTCAAAGGACAGACTACCTATATTTCCTTCCAGAGGGTGAGTTTTCATCTACAAATATATATAATTCATTACTGAAAACATTATAAAGAGTTTTGGGCGTAAGGGAGTTACCCCCTGTTTTTGTCGTTTCAGTGCACAAATGTTGATGAAGGGTAGGCTAAAGGGAGCCCAGAAAGGGCACAGTTTATTGAAGAAGAAAGCTGACGCATTGCAGATGAGGTTCCGTATGATTTTGAACAAAATTATTGAGGTGAGCATTAAGATACTTATTCCTTGAAGGCTTTTATAGTTTGATTTCATATTATAGACCAAAACCTTGATGGGAGAAGTAATGAAAGAAGCATCATTCTCGCTAGCTGAAGCCAAATTTGCAACAGGTGACTTCAATCAAGTGGTACTACAAAATGTCACCAAGGCTCAGATAAAAATCAGAACCAAGAAGGATAATGTAGCAGGTATAAATGTGTCTTCCCATTAAATTATGAAAAAGTAAATGCAATTCTTTTGTGATAACAAATTAACTTTTATCACTGACGAATTGTACTGTCAGAAATCTCCTTAAACTCAGTAGTTGCTTCTAAGCAGTGCTTTTACAATCTCCTGTATCATTGTATGCTAATCAATGATCTTATTTAGCACTAAACTGTAATAATCTATTTTCCATGATACATCATCAGATTTTGGTTTTAATCATGGTAGACATCCAGATTGAGGAGGGACATCTTTGTTTTAAATCTGTACTGTTGCCAATAAACTTGATGAAATTAAGGGTTATATTCAGAAATATTTAGACTAAATACTTATTAAAATTTATTTTCACCTAGGTGAGTGATTGGAGAGTTTTACAATTAAATATAATGCATACATCTATACATTGAATTTTGGTTGTCACTTGATTATATGTGTTTTTGAATCTCATTCACTTTCTATAAAAACAAACATCAGGATGTGACTTTTAAATTTGCACACTCTTATTCACTAATAGGCCAAGAATGCTTGGGCACGCAGCAACATGTGAATAGAAGCAGTGAAGGAGTGCTATTTCTCTTGATGTGGAGTAAATAAGGTTTAAACAGACAATCAATAATCAGCTGTTAATTGTTGACACATTGTGTATAGTGTATAGTAAAAAATAGTTTACTTATCGCTACTGTCAGATAAGATCAGTTTTGACTGTGTTTTAAATGTAACATCTTTATCCAGTAACAGGCTAACAAAGACTGATATTTTGCTTGCAATATATGGTAACTCTAGCTATGAGTGACAATTTTGTATTTATTTGTTTAGGTGTAACACTGCCAGTCTTTGAGTGGTACCAAGATGGCACAGATACCTATGAGTTTGCTGGATTGGCAAGAGGTGGTCAACAGTTGGCCAAATTGAAGAAAAACTATCAGAGTGCTGTCAAGTTGCTTGTAGAACTTGCATCTCTGCAGACTTCATTTGTGACATTGGATGAAGTCATCAAGATTACAAACAGAAGAGTTAATGCTATTGAGCATGGTAAGATTATGACACAGGATAAGTTTTCTGAAAGTAGTTTTTGTAGCTGCCTTCTTTTTGTTTTTTCAGCGGTCTTCTTTTTGTTTTTCCTACATAAAGAGGGAACCTGACAGTATTGTTGGAAAAATAAGTCATATAATTTAATTCAAAATCACTAGTTTGAATCAGAAAATTTGGTGTGTAGATTGTAGGCAGCTGATTTTTTACTTAAAATGGGATCTATGGTGCTTCAGAATTTTTTGACAGCATTCAGCACCCAAGCTTACCCAGCTGTTCTGAATTTCAATCATCCGGAACTGTTGATAGCAAATATGGAGAAAATTTGCCAGACAGAGCCCTGTAATATTTCTTGAGGTTTCTTATGAGAAAATTCTTGAGATCCACTGCATAACCGTTACCTGTATGGAAACTTACCTCTTAGGTAAATAGGGTGTGTAGATTTCTAATCTGACATTAAATAGACTGGACTTATGAGAATAGTTGAGCCCTTTTGTGGCAGTACTGCATTAGGAAAATGTAGTAAATAATTTCGAAGCAGGACGACGTTTCCCAATGGGCGCTAGATAGAGGTGAAAACCTTGCCTTGGGATGTACGAGATACGGTGTTGCCAAGCGAACCAATGACGCAATGTTGCAGAATTTGTGGCGAACGTGGGCTTTCATTTCGACCTAAAATGGAGCGCCGTTAGGACCGATCCGGAATCGTTCTTAAACAGATTCGACACAATAGAGGATAACCTGGGCATATTTTCAATATGCATCTTAATTTAAGGAACTGGTGTAACATAATGGCAACGCGGCAGATCGTCGCATGAGCGCTGCTAGGCAACGCTATCCAGTCGGCTTCTATTTCTTTCTAACATATGTGTCTATACACACTTCTCTCTCGCCATCAGACACATTTGGTTTTCCCTGTATAAGCGGCTGGAGAAAATGAAAGTTTTGATCAAGTTAAATTTCAGTTATCATTCCAAGGATCGAGCGCACTCTGCAATACATCATATCTGAACTGGATGAGCTGGAAAGAGAAGAATTTTACCGTCTGAAAAAGATCCAGGACAAAAAGAAGGTGATTAAGGCATTCAAAGAGAAAGAAAGGCTAGCTATGATTGAAGCTGGTATCTTGAGGGAGTCGCAGGCCCAGAATTTGCTAGATGAGGGAGATGAAGATATCCTCTTCTAGATTTAAATGATATGTAATAAAAAAAATGATTGGTATGTAAGAGTCGGTTGAGTGTGAATACTCCACTATTTCATGGTTTGCTGATATAGGTCACTTATTCATTTAGACATTTTATGATTATTATTATAATAAAATTGCTATAGATTACTGTTGAACACCAGCAAAGAGACAATATACATTGGAAATAAAAAATAGTTATTTCCATTCCAATAAATCACTAGAATCTTTACAAGGAAGCAAACCTTGTATACTAGGTGAACATCAAATGCCTGGTATTCAAGAGTGTTTTTCTGTCTCAAATGTTACTCAATTTTGGGAGTGCTAAATCAGGTTCAACTAAAAATAGAACGGTTTTTTGTTAAGGGTTGGCTGGCTTTAACCAACATGTTGAATTTCTGAGTGAAAATTATTAATGGGGATGGTTCCATACTTTTCTTTTTGTTTCAGTATTATGATATTGAAATCATTATAGTTGTTATGTACATACATATGTATATCATTGATGATGTATCATTTTGATTTTGAATGGCAATAAAATTGGCATCGCCTACAAAAATGTATTACTGTAGAATTCATTTTGTCAATGTTTGCTTTTTGTCCCTCCCAGCGAATAACGTTTTTCTGAGGTTGTCCGAACGTTTGAACTGGTTCGAAAGTCACTCATCCTCAGTGGATCGTCAAACGTCTAGGTTTTACCAAAGAAGTGTGCAGAAAAAAGTAATGTGGATTTTGCATGCGTTTTTAAATTAAACAAGACCATTTTGGATGTTTGTGGACCTTTACTTCCTACATTTTTGCGTGATTAAAAAGTCTACAGAGGTAAGGAGTATGTGGTAGGCCGGCCTTCCTGCCCCCGCCTCGCTGCGCCTATGTCGCTGTCAAAATTGTTATGATTTCTGACAGACGTCAGGTTGACAGTAGTTATTTGAGGTTAGAGCTTCATTGTTTGGGTTGGGCGTATCTGTTAATGCCAACACCACACTCAAAAAGTTCCGTGTTGTGCAATTAAAAAAAAAAAATTGTTTATAAATGTGTACCTGTTCGTTAGATGTTGGATGATGTGAAGTTATTAACTTTAGGATCTATAGCTGCATTTCGAGGAAGAAATATATTTTTATCCCTAGGAAAATGAGTTCTGATGCCGAGAGAAAAGTTGCCTTGATAACTGGTATCAACGGACAGGTGTGTATACGATATAAAATAACTTATTTCTTCTATGAATATGTCAATATATCTATATATACTTACTAAAAACTCGTTGAAATGTACAATTTGTGTTAACAAAAATCATGCAAATGATAAAAATGTAATAGGATATGGGGGTGAACTCTTTAAATGGAGTGAATGTGGACATGGTTCTACTACCCTTCAGCTAACTGTATTCCTGATAGAATAGTTACTCATCAAGTTATTTTCAGAAATAAAAGTGTGGAAGTCTTGCCATTATTTACCAGTCTTAAAAGGTTGTTAACTTTGATATCGAACATTTAATGATATGGAGAACCCAGAAACATTATTTTGCCGCAAATTGATGCATTAACAAACTTATTTGACAAATACCAATGGTTGTCAGCATTTGTAATCGTTCCCTAGGAAACAGAACCATGCCCACTTTCGCAGTGACTCCACTCGCTTGTTTTCAGGAATACAAGTACTGGTATATTCAAGGCTGATAATTTCACAATGGCATGCACCAGTATTAGATGTTATTAAGTTGAGATTGTATTTGGTGCATATATCACAGGTTCATGTATGCCTCAGCATTTGATATCAAACCTCCATGTCATTCTATCAAAAAGATACCAGTTCAGCATTATGATTAGCTAAATCTGCTTTTATGAACCGAAAATATATTCATTCTTCTTTTATCACAGGATGGTTCTTATTTGTCAGAATTTCTTCTGGAAAAAGGCTATGAAGTGCATGGCATCATAAGAAGAGCTAGCAGTTTTAACACAAGTAGGATAGAACATTTGTACTCAGACCCATATGCACACACAGGAGGAAGACTGCATTTACATTATGGTGACATGACAGATTCAAGCTGTTTGGTGAAAATCATTAATAAGACCAAACCAACAGAGATATACAATTTGGCAGCACAAAGTCATGTCAAGGTATAGATGTATGTAATATCTATTGATAAGGAAAATAACAACAAGGTGTTAATAAAATGACCATTAATTTGTTTCATCAGTAAAATTATGCTAAAACAATGCCAATTTAGTTCATTTCTACAGGTGATAGTTTTATGGTTTATATATTTCGAATTTAGCTAATGTCACACCTTATTGCCTCCATGTTCTAAGTTACACTAAGGGTAGCATGCATCCGGCATAAGTTGTCATCATCACCACTAGGAACCTGGAAATCTATCTACCAATATGATTGAAACAGTAAAATATCAAATCTTGACAAGTTACCTTGTTTGTTTCTTGATAGGTGTTTCTACCAAAATTGTTATTGAGGTAGTACAGAGATCTGAGAGTATACTTTGAATTAAAATGATAGGGTTAAAAATTATGGTAATTTCATTGTCCCTAAATATGTCCTCTGGAACTATAAAAGAATATTGGGTGATTGAGATTCAGAAATTTTAATAGCAACCATCCTAAAGATTCAACTTTTACTTCCCACGCCTATGGGGCGCGAAAGTATTGTGTTCCCAAAACATTTCAAAAGTGAGATGTTATGTGCTACTGGCTAAAAATGAGAATAATAAAAATCGAGCAAACTGTTTTTTGACATTTTAGAGGCCGCCGGAGGTTGATGATGATGATGATGATCTTTATTTCATAGCAATGTGCTAACAGAGAAAACATTTGGATATAAACTTATAAACTACCATTTTCTATTACATATTTTTTTAAATGCCTTTTGAAGTTAACAAAATTTGTAGTTTTAATTTCTTCTGGAATCCTATTAAAATCTACAAGGCTCTTATAAAATAAGCTGTTTTGGGCAAAGGAAGATTGTACCTGAGACACATAAAAGTTGGAATTAGATCTAACATCATAACTATGTATATCGCTGACCATTTTTAATTTATTAATAATATGCTCTGGGTACATTCTATTCCTTATTTTGTATACTACCACCATAGTGTTATAAAAGATCTCCTGGCTTACACTTAATACATTTGTAGATGTCAGCATGTCTTTAATTCTACCGTATCTTCCCCATCCCAAAATACTTCTCAATGCCTGGTTTTGTTTTTTTTGAATAATATCAATATCACCTTTCTTAAACATATACAAGATTGTTGCACAGTAACTGAAATGTGGTAGGATTATCGTCTTATATATAATTAATTTAGCCCAGACACTCAGGTCTTTCCCCATTCTACATAATAAATTCATTTTCTTTGATAGCTTTTTGGTTATATAAATTGCATGTTTTGAAAACGTTAAATTTTCATCTATAATTATTCCTAAATATTTACATTCATCAACTTGATCTAGTCTACTACCATTAATTACTATACCTTTGTTATTGTATGTTTTAGTTACCTTATGCTTAGATTTCAATATCATACATTTAGTTTTATTTACATTCACACTTAAACTATTATTGTTTAAGGTTGGATCTATGGACTAATTGTATGGACCTGTTTGGATCAGATAATCAGTTCAATTCTATTTTTGTGTTGTACATGTTCGTTCCTAACTTTTTCTTATAATAATAATCCATTATGAAATGATGATGTCATTGCGTGGGAAGTGCAGGGTCCAGCTACTTGACGGCTTTTTTTTTTTGTTTAGGTGTCATTTGATCTCAGTGAGTATACTGCTGATGTTGATGCTGTGGGGACATTGAGACTGCTTGATGCAATACGTACCTGTGGACTAGAAAACACTGCAAAATTTTATCAGGCTTCCACTTCAGAATTGTATGGAAAAGTAGTAGAAACACCTCAGAATGAGAATACACCTTTTTATCCCAGATCACCATATGGTAAATATGTACATTTAAGGATGGACCATTGGAAAGTGGCTAGTAGTGTGCTGTTTACTACATCTATACTATATGGAATGTGTCAACTAAGGCGAATGTCACATGATGATACTGTGGACTCTACTGTCAGTATTTAGAGATCATGCCATCAGTGTTAATGGACTGGTACATTACCTTATACATCAATAATTCTTGACATTCTGGCTATACAATCAATAATCATATTTCATGATAAATAATGACATGATCACAGTGAACACCAATTGTGTGACATTCGCGAAATGTAGGCTTGACATCATTCCCGTCTCAATTGAGATCATTTGAATCCAGAGCTCTATTTCTCAAGCTTTATGTGATCCATTTTCAGATGCGTGGATGAAAGCTTCAATCTTGTTTCAGCATGTGCAAAGTTGTATGCCTACTGGATAGTGATAAACTATAGAGAAGCATACAGCTTGTTTGCTTGCAATGGTATTTTGTTTAACCACGAGAGTCCCAGAAGAGGTGAAACCTTTGTAACAAGAAAAATTACTAGGGGAGTTGCCAAAATTCATCTGGGTTTGTCAGATATTCTAGAATTAGGCCACATTGACTCAAAGAGAGATTGGGGGCATGCCAAAGATTATGTGGAGGTAGAGTATATGTTTGATAAGTCGCTGCTAAACGTCACTTTTGTCATAATATATTTAGCAAAATCGGAATTTTAATAATTTGTTTATTTCCAGGCAATGTGGTTGATGCTTCAAAAAGAAAAACCTGAAGATTATGTGATAGCTACTGGTGAAACTCACAGTGTGCGAGAATTTGTTGAGGCTGCCTTTAGGTATGTTGGGAAGGAGATTGTTTGGGAAGGTAAAGGAGTCGACGAAGTTGGGAAGGAGAAAGATTCAGGAACCATCAGGGTGAAGATAAATCCAAAGTATTTCCGACCAACAGATGTGGTTAGTAAAATGAATATTGTTTCTTGTAACAATAAAGAGAAAGTCGGGGTCATCACCCTACTCAGGGTGACTCAGAAAGCAAAGGCACTAAAGCCCAACATGGGTCCTATAAAGTTTTTTGGAAGTTATCACGGAAAACCATGTCACTAATTTTCGTCGGCCTGCCTGTCCTTGGTCCGTATAACTTAGAAAGTACCGTTAGTATTTTGATGAACTTTTCACACAAAGTTAGTACTGTACCAAGGATGAAAAAACTGTAGTTCGATAACCGTGACGGTGGAGCTATAGGAAAAAGCAGAAAAAAAATTGATGAACCTTCGTTTTTTGACGTTTCAGAGGTTCTGATGATCTTTTGGTGATACGGGTTGAAAACTGCGGGTTAGGAATTGTGGGGGCTAGAGGGAATGTGTCCCAATTTCTTGTATTAGTATGTTTATACGGTTCCGACTCAAATAATTCTACTCACCTATTAGCCGTATTTAACATATCATTGCTTTCCCCGTACATTTCACCTTAATACTTAGAATCAGAAATATTTTCAACACACGCGTATATGTATCTGCGTTGCGGACTGCCCGAGGTGATGGGTGCCCGCCGTGCAGCGTTACCGTTCGTGATAAAAATCGTACAAGCGCATCAAAGTTATTTTACATATTGGCGTAGCGTGGTTTAATTTATTTAGAAGTGCCGCGGTGTTGGTTCCAGGATTCATGTTCAGGGAGAGAGGGAGTTGTACAAATGTGTGATGTTGGGTTGCGTGGGAAGTGCAGAGTCAACCTACTTGTCGCTGTTTTTTTGATAAAGTACTTAATTCCCTCTAAATTGTCTTTCTTGGGAAATTTTGGTCTAACTATTCCTCTTGGCGGAAAAGTGGTTTGAACGTTATACAGGCTTAGTGGTGGAATATCTTATGCTAAACTTTTATTACTGTACTTGGAAAATATGCTGAAGTTACTAAAGTTTGACATTAAAAATGTGTTGTAATCCCACCTCACCACAGCATTATTCATATTATATTCATATTTTGTTCTTGATGAGCCCCAGCAGTACATAGAAATTTTTAACACCCCAACTTGGTAATGGGACATGTAGGGACATTTGCTTATAGGAACTTTTTTTGATGCACTTCCCTTTCTAGGAAATATTGCCATTGTTTTTTGAATTACGCTGTCAGTCTGACTAACGCCCACTTGTAATTGAGCTTGAATAAAGTCCTGATATCTGTAATTCGAAAGAAGGTATATTCTCATTGGTGAACAGCAGCATGCATGGGGAGTAAGATCAAGAAATACCAGTCTTAGTAGCATACATACATTTTCCTGGTATTACGGGAGTGTTTCTTGAGTTTGAAGTTTCACTGCTTTTGCTTTCAGGGTTTTCTTTTGGGTGATGCAACCAAGGCCAAATCAAAGCTGAACTGGGCACCAAGGGTGTCATTTCCAGAGTTAGTTAAGGATATGATGCAGGCTGATATTGATCTGATGAAGAGAAATCCTATGGCTTAGCTGAAGAAAGCAATGTTTGAATTATTATTTTTATTCTTTTTAATAATTATGTATTATTTTTACACAACTTTATCTTAATAAAACATTCCTGGTCTTAAAACAAATTGCTTTTTATCCCATACCCAGTTGCGAAATACAATATTGGTAAAAATACGTTACATGTAGAAAAACCTATATAAATAGTATGATTCTCTCAAAGTACCAGGAGTATTAGAGCAGTTTTTCTCTATACTAGCTTCTCTTGAACACCTGTTAATATTTTTTTTCTTTTTAATTACCCTCGCATATTTCTAAATCAAACGAAAACAGTGCTGAGCGAATTGGTTACGAAGATTACAAATTCAGGAGAGACTTTCTCCGTGTCCCATTCTCTACCTCGAATTCAACCCCGTAACACAACTATTTTTTCGAATCAGCGCCTCAAATTAAGTAAGTATATCGTTTCCAATGGCTTGCAACAATGGGAGACAAAAATGTTGCCCTACAAAAAGGTCAAGGTTAGCTAGAACAAAAATTTCAAAAACTTCTGCGTGTCTGTGATTTTAATTAAAAGACGAAACTTACAGTAGGTCTCGTGCGACTTATTTTTTATCGGAAATTTGGACCTACAACACTTCAGGACTTTTTAACGGTCATAATTGTGTTCAGCGGTTCAAATTAGTGACGCAAAATTTCATCCGCTTTGGACAATGGGAGATGGAAAAGAAAATTTTGTCCTACAAGGTGCTTTAATATTTTTACGGTTTCTTGGAGGAACGTTTTCAAGATCGCTTCCGTATATGTGATCTGGATGGATACTCATTCCGGCGATAATTCGGTTCCTCCAGGTGTCAGAGTTTGACGTCAGGATATATATTAAGTCTCGTCGCAAGCTAATACCTATTGTTGCCCTTTACTCTCTCACTCTGGTAGTGGAGTTATGCCATTGAAAACTCTCGCGAACACAATTCTTTCATCGTTTATGCAAAGGTAGCCGCCACCCCCCTCCCCGTGACGCATCTTTGGCAACGTGATTCTCATCCCGGTAAATGGTGTACACAATTGGCTACTGGACTTTTAAGGATATCCCAGTTTACACATACATGATCAACGGATAACCCAAAAGACCCAACACGGGATGTCGGAATCTTGCAATTCTACAAAAAAAAAGAAATTAGCAGACTAAAGGTGACTAAGCAGTACCTAGACTTTTACCAGCTAAATAATAGATCTAAATTGAAATATTACTAGTAACAAACCGTTACTCCTAGTCATGTTTTAATCGCTTTTGTTGCAAACGTAGTATGCTTTATCCCCTAGAATCCGTTCTATTTCCCTTATTCCTTTATACCAGCCCCTCTCGAATACTTGTTCCACCAAAAAACAGAACTTCTGTTTAGCTTCGTCTGGTATATCCTTCAATCTTTCTTCAATAGTTTCACTGTTAGATCTTTTACCGAATATAACAAATACTACCATATAAATTATATGGCCGAATATTGCCCCTATTGATACGGTTATATCTTTCAAGAATTGCCGTTTCTCGAATCTACTTATATCACAGTTCATTTCCAATAAGGCACTCATCAAATTGTCGTAATAGAAATCAATCAAATCATCCAAATGTTGCTTAAGCACATCATATTTTACGCTGGTAAATAATAAGTGCATTAAATCTTTCGCTGGGTGGTTGTAGCGGTACATCTGAAAATCTATCAGTTTCATTTCTGATATATTGCCATCTTTCATGATATGCATTATATTGTTAATCCACAAATCGTTGTGGATCAGTGTATTGAAAGGTTCCGAGCCTGGTGCTGTGTGTAACTTCAATCCGGCCAAGGAAAATTTTTCTTTTTGAAAGTAATCAGACATCTTGCGTATGTACTGCTGTGGCATGCGGTGTTCTTCTAAAATTTGCAGTAGCAGTTTGGCAATGTTTTCTTCATTTTGTTTAAAATCTGGAAGGAATTTCCACAGCTCGTCTACAAATTCATCGGGGACCAGCTCCATCTCGCAGAAGGTTTTGATACAGGCAGAGAATGTGCCTGGTTCCTTCACTTTCATAGCTAAGGATGTACCGTGCAGCAGGGCTACGTTTTTCAAAACGTGTTTTATTTGGTCATAGTCGTAGCCTTCGCATTTGTCCAATGATCCATAGCCTACAAAGGAAGACATCTGAATGTCAGCAGTACCTATCTGTGAATCTGCACTTAAAACAATATACACTGAGAACGAAATTTGTCTGACGGCTTGAGCTCAATGTGTACGAGAGAGAAGCGTGAGAAATGTGTATGTTAGAAACAGAGAGAAGCCGGCTGATAGCGATAGCGAAGCGTCGCCTAGTAACGCTGACGCGCCAATATGCCAGTATGCTACACCTTGAACTAATATGCATATTGAAAATATGCGTCAGTTTATTCTCTACGCCCAAATAATGTTTTTATTTGAATTGCAAATTGTCTCGAGTCTGCTTAGTATCGGTCCTTACGACGATCCATTTTAGAAAGAAATGAAATGTTAGGATCACCACAAATTCTGTAATATTGCATCATTGGTTCGCTTGGCAACACTGTATCTCGTAAATTTCAAGGAAAGGTTTCCACCTCTATAATCATAGATGAGCGATTTTGGTCAGTACGCAACTAGCGCTCATTGGGGAGTGTTCTGCTTCGAAATGGTTTTATTGCGTATGGTATTTATTACATTTTCCAACCGCTCGCTGTATCAAAATGTAACAATAACTCAGGATGTGTGGTGTAATTCAAAGATAATTCCAAACCAAACTAGAACACTAAGTTGAATCCAAATTGCAATAGATAATTCTTATCAAAATGAAAACAGTATATAAAATTAAATGTTTGAACAGACCTCCTCCTTGTGTTTGACTGTAATCTAACGTATTGTAGAAGCCTGTGCGAACATTTTCTGGTGTAACATATTGGCAACGCGGCAGATTGCACATTCTGCTTCACCGTTGCTAGGCAATGCGGTGGTGGTCTTCGCTCTTCAACCGGCTTCTAACTCTTTCTAACCCGTGTTGATAGACACTTCCCGCGCCTCTCTCGTAAACACTCCATGTAAACGTAGTTTCTGAAATGTCTCAGCGCCAAAATTTTTTTACACTACTGATGAGACTGAATAAGGATAGACAAAACATGATTAGTGTTCGAACACTATGGTCAGATAGGACTATGAGCCCCTTCCCACTTCAGTTGGCCCACTTCAAGATTTGTACCAAAATATGCCTTTATAAACTAAACATGACGAAACTATTTATTTCTAAAACAATTTATTTTCTCAAAAACATTTTACATACACTCTAGTCGTAAAAAATACATATTTGAAATCACTTAGACTAATAGAACATCTGAACAAATAAACAATGTGCGAATAAATGCGCGAAGTTAAAAAAACAACAATTGAAAGATTACCATTGGGTAACATCATCTTTATTTTTTATTACGGCTGAAATTCTTTGGGGCATAGTGTTAACCAAGTTTTGGCAAAAATTTTGTGTAAAACAATCCCATATTTCTTGAAGCTTTTGTCTCAGTTCGGTGATTGTACGAGCAGGATGTTGTCGTAGAACCTTTTTCATCTCATGCCACAAAGTTTCAATAGGTGACAGATCTGGACTGCTATAAACCCATTTCAAAAGTGGTACATTATTTTCTTCCATCCATTTTATAGCCTTTTTTGAGGTATGGTACGCTGCACCATCTTGCTGAAACACAAAATCTTTGCCGGATGACAAACATTCTTTCATCACTGGTAAAAGCGATTCTTCTAAAATTGTCAAATATTTGTTTGTATCCACATTTCCATCAATAAAATGAAGTTTTCCTAGTCCTTTTGATGACATACTGCCAGAGACCATAATGGATGCTGGAAATGTCACTTTTCACTCTTCAGACAGTCAGCATGGAATGCTTCATTTTTTTTGTGAATAACTCTATTGCGACTGTCACCAACACAAACTTCGAATCGGGCCTCATCACTCCATTGTATTGCACACCATTGTTGAGGTTCATTAGCCCATCTAAGCAGTTTTTTTTGCAGTGGAGTTAATAGTGGCTCTTCTTTGGCCTATAAACAAGTTGTGCAACTTTGGGGTTTTTACTTAAATTTTAAGAAAACTTACCTTGCAAGTGCTAAGTCCCAGTTTGTGGGCCTCTCTATGAGTTGTGGACCCTGAAATTCTCCTTCCAACAGCGTCACTCCACAGAGCACTTAATAGTAAATAATTGGCACGCCTGTCTTTCACGATTATTCTTCTTAATGCTCTTCGGTCGGCATTTGTGATATTACTTTTTTTCACATATAGTGACTTAATATTAACTGAACCAGTTACTTTATAACTTCTAGCAATATTTCTCACACTGTACCGCGATAAGTCTAACAAAGTTGCAATTTCTGAGTTTGATTTCCCAGAATTAAAAAAATTAATTATCAGTAACCGAATTTTTCTCACTAATAACCTTTCCTCTACCCATTTTGAAAACCTTAACTACCCAAAACTATTTTAAACGTATTCTGACAGCTGTGATTAATAAAAACAATTGTCATGGCTTTTATTTTTCACAGCCACCTATGCGTTATAGACTTATTTTGCATTGAAATGAAAATAGGTTGATATGCTGTAATTGCAACATGTGTTATTTTTATGCTGCAAATTTGATTAGGGAGTGATAAAGTTGGTGTTTTCTACTATATATTATCAAAATATTAATTGTTAATATGTTAAACCTATAACACCCTGCTACATTTTCATTATTTGTGTTTGATAAGAAAAAAACTAAGATTTCAATAGTTGGGCCAACTGAAGTGGGAAGGGGCTCGTACTCTCCTAATGCTCTACGAACAATTTTCAATGTCAACATTTACTAAATTGAACGCATTTTCATAATAGAACGGGTTCAAGCTTTTTATACAGATTACCATTCAAATACCAAACCAATTTATCTCTAAAATGAATCTGATTAAATTTTGAATACTTTATTCAAAAATTCGATAGAAAAATCAGCGTCGTAGAAAATAATTGTATTTTTTCTTCTGTAGGGGGCAGATTTTTCCAAATTCTACGCCACTGGTATAGTGTTGGACAAGAAAGATATTGATTGTATGGGTATGCTGTTAGGAATATAAGTACAAAATCTTAAGCAAATGTATTAGCACACTCCGAAGATATATATATATATATATATATATATATATATATATATATATATATATATATATATTATTTATTTCAAAATTAAAACTTCAACATCCTCTATGTCGGTAAGAAGTCCCTTTAAGACTCATGCTTATAAGAATTTCTCGTGTGATTTTTTACCTACATTATGCCCTAGAAATATTGCCATGTTTTCCTGTATACAGATGATTTTTCCATTAAATTTAAGTCTCAGACAAAAACCTATTATAATGAGTGCCTTATTTTATAATTTTAGTTTACCTTTTGTACCTAAGTCCTCAATCATCAGTACAAAATCAGCATTAGCTTTATCAGGTTCGTCTGAACATCCGTAGAATTTTGGAAAGAAGTTTTCTATCTCCAGATTGCAATGTCTATGTCCGAACTCCTTCAAGCTTGGGATGATCTTGGTATAAAAAGAGACTTCTCTCCTATACATTTGAGAATTGATTGTTGCAAACAGACCTATAGATAATTTGAAGCTTTACACTCATTGAAGATACGGAAATGTGACTAGTTACTCAAAGGTTAAGGGGAAGGGTATTTTCAACCCCTGAGGGTTGTTTTATGTTACTTATTAGCAAATACGGTTTTCAAAAAAAGTTTTCTAGATAGTATTCCGAACTTCGATATTACGGGGAAACAAGAATAGGTCCTTGTGTGCTATTTTAATACGTAAAATACCAAAAATGGTTTCGTACATAACGCTCCTGGTGTTATTAGACTTAACTACTGCTATACATACCACAGACTTCGAAGTTGAGTCATTTATTTTAACAGTGAGTAGATCCGATCAAAAGAAATGTTTTTTTCCTTTACCATTTTTCTGGTAAAATTAAAGTAACAAAGTTATAGCCCTTTGGAAGTTTGAGTACCGCCCTATCTCAATCATAATATTATGTGCTCGTGTTTGGCAACAACGGATATAATCCGCCTTATCGGTTCATCGCATCGGAAACAAAAAAGCGAAAGAATTTGGAACGATGTTTTTACAATTATTTTATTCCGTTGTATACAGTCAGTGTCAGTCGGTAACGCGTGAGTGAATAGTGGTGTCTGTTGCGTGGCTCAAACGAAATCAAAAATGGCACATGTTTATGCGGATCGGTTTCCCAATCGAGTGCAACCAACCTCTCGTGCCTTTGTTAATGTAGTACAACGGGCTCGTGAATCAGGTGACTTAAGACCTCACAGGCGACGGCATGCCGGTGCTCCAAGACCTCACGATCAAATACAGGTCCGCACTGAAATACTTGTCGGGAGGATACTTTATAAAACAAGGTAAATTTTTTTTAATTTTTTTTATTTTTACACACATATTTTGGTTTATCTTCCTTCTACAATCATTATCTGAAAATTAATGACTCAACTTCAAAGTCACCCTGTATACCTTTTTAACTAAATTAACGACATGAATAAATACGTTAGCACTTATGAAACTAAAAAAATCGCAGAACCCAAACGAAAAATTGTGTTACCAATAAACTCATATTCATTTGAAAACTTCCCTCCACGGATTTATCGAAAACCAGTGATTAAAAGAAAAAACGCCGTGACGTCAAAAGATCTGTCAAGGAGGACAACTTTTTAACCAAAAACTACTTCATCCCCTTTCACCTTCGCCCCCCCCCAGGGTCATTCCCTTAAAAAAATTTAAATAACAAGGGTTATTAAGTAATAGCTTGTTTCAAAGGTCTTTATTTTGATGTTTCATTGTTTTAAATTAGTCGATTCGTTTTCGAGCAAAATCTTTATTTATCTTAATTTGTTCCTATAGAGAACAAAAACACACTTTTGTTTGAATAAGTGTTCAAAATGTCGCCCATTAGGATTTGCCAAATCTACAATTCGTTTATAATTTAAAACGGAGACTACCAACATACACAGCAAATCGGAAGATTAGACCACCAAATAACAGCCCAAATTTTTTTCATCATTATTTTCATCAACACAGATATTTTGGGAGAACTGTATTAATTTATTGTTATACCTGTTCAGTTATTTGTTCCTAAGGGTAAGAAAGAATTTAATTTGCTGTCAGTTACCTTGGTGATAATCCTGGGATAGTGAAAAATAATTTATTGGTTTAGATTTTACTTCCAAGATGATTTACACACTAGCTGAAAGAGTGGAAGTGATTATAATTTATGGTACCCAAAATCAATGTGCTCGGCAAACTGCGTCACGTCTAACGCCAGACATCCGGGGAAGATAACTTCGCATAGGTATGTTTTGGACCTTGTTACCAAAATTTACTCAAACTGGATCTGTTACGAATAAAAAAACGTGATCATCGGAGAGTTTTGGATAAAGCCGCTCAAGTTGAAATTTTGGGTCATTTTGGAATAGGGGAGACCGGTGCTAGTTGTCACAATTTTCAGTAATTCTTTTTTTTATTCGACCTGAAACGTTATATGCACATATTTGGTACATAACTAAGATGGTTTATCCTTTGGGAACACTATGTAAAATCGATAAGGCTGTAAAATAATTCACAATATTAAATTAAAATGTTTCAATATACAGAAACAAATGTGACAACTTGCCCCTTGCTGGGGCTGGATGTCACATTGCTTGTGGTTGGTTGTCACGCGTATTTTAGATCATTAATAAATTATGATATCATACTTTTAAACATATTTATTATTATAAACAATGCTAATTAAACAAGTACACGAGTCTTTTTTACAATTAGTCACTATCGCAGTTATGACATATGTAAAGTTCGCGTCCATCAGTGCACGCATCATGAAACCAACCATTACCCGATGAGCATTTTACCTATTCTTTATTTGGCGCGCTGTTAGAAAATGGTTCAAGACAAATCAAGCAAAAACATTCTTCTCCATCAGTTTCATTATCTGAACAGGACAGTTTTTCAATTTCTTTAGATTTCTAAATTTTTTTCTGAATCAAAAACGTCCCTTTTCACTGTTTCCCTGTTCCTCTTTTTCTTGTTCGAGCATTTTTCTCTTTCTCTAATTCGTCTTTTACTGGAGTGTCAGTGAGTATTGCACTCCCTCGTTTATGACGGGAAACTCGATTCATTTTTCTTGCCGATACATTTGGATGAGGTCTTAAACTTTCTGGAAATACCATATTCCCCGTATGCAGCCTTACTAAACTACTACAGCAGGGATCATCAAATCTAGTTTGTTTAGCTGTTTTGCTCTCTCGTATATTATCTACTGCTTCCTGCGTGTTAATATTTATCAGACTTACAGTCAGTATCATAAGTGCTAAGTCAACGTCTTGGCGAAAAACCTACATAATGTCAAAAAAATCGGCATAATGTCACTTTTCAAGATACGTGATACCCGTGCGGGTCTTTGGACAGTTGTAATCCCAGTTGCGTCCATGTCCCAGATTTCGTGAGGCTCAAATTTATGTTTTTCGATAACTGAACATCAAACAATGCGTTGACGTTCGTTTTATTGAAACTAATGGCTCTTGCTAAACTAGCTGCTTCCGGTTTGCGAGTAGACAGTACAGGATGACGTTTTAGAAACGCACTAAACAAGTCAGGACCAGCTATTTTATGGAGCTTCCAATTTTCCGGCATTTTCAAAGAATTAGCATTAGCAAATTCATATGCCAGTCCACGTACTTACTTGAGTGATAATCCAAAATAAATATCATATGCTTTGATACATATTCCACTAGATGATTTTCAAGTTCAGGTTCAAATACTAAATGATTTTTGATGTAGCCAACTGATATTGACGGCGCAATAACTCGATCATCAAGTAATTCAGACTGAAATTTTCTTACAGCATCTTGCTAAAGTACGGTAATTTACATTGAAGTCAGCTGCCGCTCTTCTTATTGAGGATCCTAATCTCACTAACCTAGCACCATGCTTATGTAACCTGACAATATTAAAAAAATTCATTTTATACATATACCTACGTAGAATGATGTGCAAAGCTAATCGTCTAGTGTGGAGGCTGGTTGTCACAAACATGTGACAAGACGCCCCCGCTAATTTGAGACAACCTGCCCCACTAGACAATTAATTTTTGAGGTTAGATAGCGTCACTAAATTAACAAATTCAAAGTCAATACTTACGTTAAGTCGTATTCGGATTATTGAAGAGCAAAATAAATTCAACAGTTATTTTTATTATCAAATGTAGTCTTGAAAACACAAATTATGTGGCAAGCGAAAAATTTACTCAGGTTAGGCAATTTGTTTATTTTTGTGCTTGCGACCTTAATCTACCAACGACAACTTTCGTACTGAATACAAGTGCTCTGCGCGGACGCAGAAACGATGTGTAGCGCGCCCCGGTCTCCCCTACATGCTAATACTTCATTACGCAAAATTGTTGCTGCGACTGGTATTTCATATGGCTCTGTACACACGGTCACTAAACACCATAAATTTCATCCATTCAAAATGAAAATATTGCAAGAGTTAACCGAAGATGACTTCGATAGGCTAGTTGAGTTTTGTCAGCAAGGACCTGTTCTCGTTTTCTCGTTCACTCCACTAATGGTTATATTGAATGTCGGGATAGTACCTATCTAGAATAATGTGTTTAAAAGCCATATTTGATAATAAGTAATATAAAACAGCCCTTAGGGACTGAAAATACCAGTTTTCTAGCATATCGGCGATTTGAGCTCACTACTGAACTCGTCGACTATAATGTTCGAATCTGAATCTAAAGCTAACTTCAGGGATGTTCGATACGTAGCTAAATTACTATTAAACCCGTGAAGCAGATTTAAAAATGTTTGAGACTAGCACTTATGAAAAAAATCATACACATAAACTACGACATATAATGTCTACATTAATTTCCGGTTCATTATCCATCACCAAATAAAAACTTATGTGATAAGAAATGACTATTATAGCTTCATAAAGCAGGAAAAAAGGTAAAGATGATATTGTGTATCTAGGTCCTTAGCTAGAATGTATACTTTGGACCTAGAAGCCTACAATTTTGAGCTTTCCCGTACAAAAGCTGCAGCTGCGTTCGTCAAGTAAAGATGCACTTATTCCCGTTTCACTTTGAAAATTTCATTTTTCATTCTGTCATTAGAACGAATTTCTCCATGAATTGAGTTTAGGGTCAAATTTCAAAAGTGTAAAATAGGAGACGTCAAAAACATCCATAAAGTTCTTCGTGGATTTCTCCATGAAGTTGGACGTAAAATTCCATAGTGCCGACCTTGTTTTTATTTCCATTAAATTGAACAACTCTTCAATTCAAGTATAAATTACCATCAATATGGTTTCTGTTTATGAGATTCGCCTCAAAATCAAAACCACAATAGACATAAAAGCACAAAGTGTTTCTAGCAAGAATTTGTTGTGTGGTTGGCAGCACTGCGTACTGACAGATAATCAATGAATTTGTCCAGTACTGTAAACACCGCAAAACATAATGTGGATGACCTTGAAGAAATCCGTCTGAATGAATTCGTGAAGAAATTGTTGATGTAAAACAGGTATTAAGCATCGGCAACTTCGCGGAGAACATAAATTTGGGCGTGCACACGGTCCCGTCTCTCTAACTTACATACACCACTGCTTATTATTTCTGAAGATATCAGATGTGTCACAATATTTCTACTATATTATATTGGCTGTTGAATATTTTGCAAGTCTCACCTTTGCTGATGGGACATTTGGAAACTGCTCGTAGAACTTTGATTTCTTTGCTTCCACTAAGTTTGCTGAGCGTAGCTGATACATCCAAAATATTTGAACAAACGCCTTCGCCTTCAGGCAGTAAAGGTTTGACTGTGATGTTATCTATTGCCCACTCTTGTCCGAAATATTTCAGCAATATTTCCTTGATTTTTTCTATCTGGATTTCCTTCATCGCAGTACCGTACACGCCGTACAGTGAAAATGAATCTATTGTCACCAGCTCTGGACAACCAATGTCGTATACGAGATGTATAGTATTTCTAAAGCTGCACTCCTTATACCAATGAACAAAGTTAGAGTTTGATCAGTACATACTTTCGAAACTTGTGTCTACAAGATATAAGTATTTATGAGATATGATAACTAGACCTTGGTTATAATGATGTAAATTGTAGGTTGCCCTATGCGTAAATAGAGGAAGCATTGTGATAGCTGAAGTGTTTGGAACATTAAATAATTACAACTAAAAAACATAATTATACAGTGCTTTTGAAAAGGGTCCCCCTTTCTCTTAATATTTTGAGCCGGTCAAGATAGCATGCTGAAATTCAGGGCGATGGTGTTTCAAACTCAACCCTCACCATCATTGGTTTCTCGCTAAGGATAAGAGATACGAAGTCGCCAAATTTTCTCAACATGGTTTTAATTTTCTCTTGACTTTATTTATAGCGGGATTCCAAAATAAATTGCACTTTTTTCTCCTCTATAAGATGGTATAATTAGAATTTCAATATGACGTTCGTCTCGTGTCCTCCAGCATCAACTGTATTTTTTGTTATAGATGCCATATTGGATTTTTGCGCAGATGAAAATAGTTCTTAATACTAATTTCAAAAATTTAATATGTCATACATTAACATCACAAGACCTTAGATATTCTAGAAAAAAAAGAAGTTCCATGGTAGGGCATGAAATTATCAGATAGTCATTGTTTCGTATACCAGAAGGCCTCAAGTTGAACATAGCAACAGAGTTTGGAAGACTGAGAAGAAGAAAAGGAAATTGAGCAGTGAACAATGTACAGAGAAGAGGCTTTCTCTGCAAAATAAAGGACAACATTTTGAACATGTGCTATGATTTACCTCTACATATTTATGATTATTGCTATTACTATCAATAAAATTCTAATTTTGTGTTCAGGTTTCACCACACCTTTCTATTTCCTTATAATTTTCATTAAACTACAAATTCATGATCAACTAAGGAAATACATCACTGAATTTTGGGACCTAAAAGTCTATTTAAATGTACAAAATTCCAATAAAGCGTCCATATGAAAAAACAGAATTGGTGATGGAAATCGAAAGTATGGGATACGGACTTCTCAACTTGGAGGACTTAATTAGAAACTGCGACTGAGGACCTATGGTGACTTTTATTTTATGTATTAAAAATAGTAGTCGAAAGCTGTTACCATAAGGCATCTGCGGGGTTTTTATTTATAAGGGTTTTTTAATATTTTCCTAATGACAAACCCTGTAGTGACTTTAGAGCGCAAAACGTCCATTTTCGTGACCCGTTGTTATTTGTGACGAAGTTTTATATATAAAATAATCTGCCTGAAACCTCACACTGGTGCTAGACCAAGTTAAGCTTAGATTTGGAGCTTATCCAGAAAGATCGCATCTTTGAAGTTCCTATTTGTTTAGACTTGTCTTGATAGTGTAACACTGTGTATACTAACGTTTTCTCCACAATTCAGATCTAGTAGGTTAATTAATTTTTGCGGATGTTTTGAAAACAAGAAGAACACACACGCCACTCGTTGCTGAAGAAACGGAAGCCAGGGGGGAACGCGCTCCTCGAATGGGCGCCCCTGTCTGTAATGTATGTCTTAATTCAATCATTAACATTGCAACATATTAAATGTATGATGCAAATGGCGTAGTCTAGCCACTGGCTAATATCCTCATTCAATGCTTGAAAGTATAAAAAGTCTAGATTAAATATACGTAGGTAATACTATAAACTATAGAAATTAATATTACCGATGAGTTCGTAATATTTATGTCATTATAATATTTAGCGGCGTTATATAATATGAATAAGAGCGCTGAAACATGGCCCTGCGATGTCTTGGTATGGATAATGTGCTCATAAACATTAAATTTCAATAATGAATGCTTGTTATGAATGTTAGTTTGTTATATGTATAAACGTAGTGGTGAATGAGTAGTTATACTAAGTGACATATAAATCCGAACACCCAGTTTAAATGGTTTTATTTTAATAAATTTTTGTATAAATACTTAATGAAGCATAATAAGTAAATGATAAAAATTTCAAAATGATTGCACTCCTTTAAAGCCCTTTGACCTTTAATAATGTGTGGATGCACCCTGATGTGCTACGCATTCTCCAACGCGCTTAGGCATGCTTCTGATCAGGTGGTCAATGTCCTCCTGTGGTATCTCTCATTCCAGGCAACCACCAACTCCTCTCGAAGTGCTTCTAGAGTCTGAGGAGGACGTTGCAAATTGAGCAATCTCCTACCCATCATATCCCACACGTGCTCAATTGGGGATAAGTCGGGAGATCTTGGTGGCCATGGTAACAATGTGACATCATTATGTTGAAAGAAGTCTATTGTGACTCTTGCAACATGTGGTCGGGCATTATCTTGTTGGAAAGTTGGATCTGCCAGGGTGTTAAGAAGGGTAAAAGATGGGGTTCTAGAACTTCGTGGATATAACGCTGCGCGTTCATGTTACCTCTGATGAAGATTAAAGGTGACCTGGAACCATAAGCTATAGCACCCAAACCGTAACTCCAACAGTGTGATGAACATGTCTTTCAATAAAAAATTGTGGATTCCTCCTTTCACCACGTCGAAGCCATGCCTGACAACACCTAACCACAGTGTCTACACTTCTTTGCACTCTAACTGCAATTGCCCGAAAAGCTTCCCGAAGTCCCACTATACGGCCCCTATCAAACTCACTAAGTTGACGAAATCGTACAGGTCTCCGTACTCTAGGCATCGTAACCGATCGTAAAGGATGTCAAGAACCAAAATCTGCCAACGTTGATTCTTTACTGCGGCTGAAATATTCATTTTTAGAGCGTTAGTGAATTAAAAAAAGGCAGTATAAAAACCGGAATGTCCAGCTGATAAGGCAGAAAATTTTTTCACTTGTTATTTACAGTAAGATAAATACATTCACCAACTTTTATTAAAATAAAACCATTTAAACTGGGTGTTCGGATTTATATGTCACTTAGTATATAATGAATTTTACAAACGACAAATACAAATATGAATAGTTTTCACCTTCTTGACCCGTTGTTACAAATGAACAAAACAGATAGGTATTGGAGGGGTTGGAAATTTCAAGCGTTGAATCCGAATATGACAATGAAAACTCCTGAGAGGGGGTTCAATTCAAGGTTAAGCATTAGTCGCGTATGTCGAAAGATCGGCCACAACATCGAATCGACCTCAGGTTCACAATTTTCGCATCAGTTTTCAAAGCACTGCGCGTGAGGGGACAACAAAGCTTCTTCCATTACACGTGTCATAATTATGGTAGTCTACATCTAACGCACATCAGAAGCTCTATTATAAATATAATAGCCGGAGATGTACCAACATTATGGAAGAAACAAGTTGTAACGCCACTAGCAAAAGTCAATGACGCTATAGAGATGAAGCATTTGAGACCGGCAGGATCATTACGTAAAAGGCCTAAAAAATGTCAGAAAAAAACCGACGTTTGTCTAGTAATGCCTTGCTGTGGCTTAACAACGCTGGCAGGTCCCACCGCACAACTATATTTGACAAAATGTTCACTTTACGGAATGTAATTTCTGGTGCTCCGCAAGGAAGATAATTAGCTCCGTTAATGTTTACATTCTATACATCCGACTTATTAAATTTTATATCACGATCATGATTCAAATTTATAAATCATGCAAGCCGAAAAGTTAATCTATTGATTTTCGAATTAAATATTAACCTAGAAATTATTTTAAACTATTCCAAAACTATTCCAACTTATTCCAAAACTTATTGTTTGAAAGTGAATCCATCAAAAACTAAAGCCTGCTGCATTGGTTCCAGATTAAATATTTCAAAATTGAAAGGGTTGATGGCGCTGCAGTATATTATATAACTGCTGCACGAGATTATGTTATAAAGATATCATACACAAGAAATATTACCGGCCATTATTTGAGAGAAAATGTTTAAACATTCAAGCATCATGTATTGCTTCATTATGAAACTCCATATAACTCACATTATTAATATCTGTCTCGAAACAGGTTACTTTCCTGCCAGTTGGAAAAATGGTATTATTATTCCAATAGCTAAAACTAATCTTCCAGAACAATATTCGGATCTCAGGTCAATTACCTTATTATGCTTTCTATCAAAAATACTCGAAAGAGCTGTCTACTCACAACTAGTGGAGTTTTTCGAACAAAATCACTTATTTCCTCTACATCAGTCAGGTTTCAGAGCTGGTTACAGCACTACTTCGTCTTTATTACATCTTACTGATTCCATCATTCACAATTTAGATAATCACATCAACACCGTATTGGTACTGTTAGATTTCTCGAAAGCCTTTGATATGGTCAATCACCAGATACTACTGAGTAAGTTATCTCATTATGGAATGTCAGATATAGTTCTAAGGTTCTTTGAGTCATACTTGCTAAATCGTCAACAAACAGTGAAAAGTGATCAGGGAATTTCCTCCTCTGAGCCAGTTCCTTCAGGAGTTCATCAGGGCTCAGTATTAGGTCCCTTACTATATCTGATTTATACGATCGACCTGCAAGACTGTTTAGTCCACTGTAGTATGCAAACTTATGCAGATGATACTCAGTTAGTGTTTGGTTTCGATCCATCAAAGGTTGATGAAGTTTCTTTTAAAGTTAATTTAGATTTGGCTAACATCGGTGATTACTGAAACAAACACTGCTTGAAGATCAATCCTAATAAAACTACTGCAATGTTGTACTGTTCGAAGAACTCCTACCGTGAAATGAAGCAGAGGATTTGTGTTTTTTTGGATGAGACACTCATCCCTTTTGTGGATTACGCCAAGAATCTCGGTGTTACCCTTGACTTAAATATGAGATTCGATCGGCATGTCTCTTTCTTATCTTGAGACGTATTTGCGTTTGAAATTCCTCTATTCTAATCGATACATCTTGAATTTTAAAACCCGAAAAAAGCTCGCTGAAAGTCTTGTGTTGTCTGTCATTTCTTACTCTCTTGTTCTGTATTACCCATGTTTAGACTACGTCCACAAAAGGAAACTCCAGAAAATTCAGAACAGCTGTTGTAGGTTTATTTTTGGATTGCGCAAGTTTAGTCGCGTCTCAGATAGAATCAAAGAACTCAACTGGTTGCGAATTGATAAGTTATTTTTATATCTTTTGACTG